GCGCCCGGCCCTCAGCTCCCCTTTCTATACTTGCTACAGTGAGCGTGGTACCCACTGGTCTAGCTGTGGTCTACCAGGAACCCCCAAAGAGAACGACAGAGTAAGCGGGGGCATCTTCCCAAGTGACAAGGACTTGAGAGGGCAGGTTGGATACAGGGAGAGGCCTGGCCAAATGCCATGTGTCTAGACTTAGACTGTCTGGTTCAAATGGGATGTCACCCTTCTCTACTATAAAAATGCATTGCTCCTTTTTGAGTCTGTAAAATAATAATGAAATGTGCACTAATAACTTGGAGAAGGCGATGCAGATGAAATGAAATAAGCTGCAGAGACCACAGAGCTCAGAGCCTCGCATTTAGGAAGCCCTCAGTAAGGGTTCATGATGCCATGGTGTTTGTCATCTTCCTCTTTATCCTCATCATCACCTTCATCATCCTTTTGTTGGGCTTAGGGGATAGTTTAGAGAGACTCATTTTCTGCTATTGTGCATGAGATGTCTATGAAAAGGACAACCAGTGTGGGAGGAAAGCAAAATTTTGAATGAGATTTCTGAGTCCCCACTACAAGCAAGAACGTAAACTCCACAGTCATGTGAGCTGATATTTTGCACATTGATGTCCTCCTATCTGCCACCCCACTGTCCTGTTTGTCCTGAGGATGAGGAAACAAGGCTCCTGACCATCCCTCAGCACTCACTGAGCCACGCTTTGCCTCTGCTGGACCATGACCACGGAGAGCAGGTCCGCTGTCCTCCCTGCCTGGTGCGCGATGGAGGCTCAGGCTCCGTCCTCAGGACTGGCAGGAAGACAGGGTCAGACATGAGCCTCCTGATGCAGACGACAGGTTGGAGCCCACTGGACTGGAAGCTCACACTGCAGGGCTGGAGGCACAGGCTGCGTATTTACTATGCTATGGCCTCAGGGGCTCAATGCACAGAGCTCCTCATTAGCCAAACTGGCCCAAGTTCCCCAGTCTCTAAGGATTTCCTCACATTAATGCAGGATGAAGAAGAGAAAAATGAGTGTCCATAGAAGCTTTTGGGCTCTTCCTTTAATCAAGGGAAAGCTTGTGTGTATTATTCGCATCTTTCTTTTCTTTTTAAAGATCCACATGCTTTAATTTTCATCTTTTATTATGGTAAAATATACCATGTATAAATATTAAAAATTATACATATATATTATTTCATATAGAAGGGTCAACAAAAGTGTTTACAATTTCCACTATTTTTAAGTTTACAGTTTAATGACATTAAGTACATTCACATTGTTTGGCAACCATCACCACCATCGTCTCCAGAACATTTTTATCTTTCAAAATGGAAACTGTGCGCATGAAACAAACCCCTCCATTCCTCTCTCTCTCGCCTGCCCCTGGGGGCCGCCATTTTATTTTCCAACTCTATGAATTTAACTACTCTAAATACTTGATATCAGTGGAATCATACTGTGTTTATCTTTTTTTTTGAGACAGAGTCTCATTCTGTCACTCAGGATGGAGTACAGTGGCACGATCTGGGCTCACTGCAACCTGCACCTCCCGGGTTCAAGCGATTCTCGTGCCTCAGCCTCCCGAGTAGCTGGGATTACAGGCATGAGCCACCACGCCCAGCTAATTTTTGTATTTTTAGTAGAGACGAGCTTTCGTCATGTTGGCCAGGCTGGTTTCAAACTCCTGACTTCAAGTGATCCGCCCGCCTCGGCCTCCGGGAGTGCTGGGATTACAGGCGTGAGCCACTCAGCCCCGTTGTGTTTACCCTTTTGTGATATATTTATTTCACTGACGATAATGTCTTCAAGATTCATCCATGTTGCAGCCTGTGTCAGAAGTGCCTCCCCTTTTGTTGTTGTTGTTGTTAGATGAAGTCTCACTCTGTCGCCCAGGCTGGAGTGCAATGGCACAATCTGGGCTCACTGCAACCTCCACTTCCTGGATTCAAGCAGTTCTCGTGCCTCAACCTCCCGAGTAGTTGTCTTTACAGGCACATGCCACCATGCCCAGCTAATGTTATTTTTAGTAGACGCAGGGTTTCACCATGTTGGTCAGGCTTGTCTTGAACTCCTGACCTCAGATGATCCGCCCACCTCAGCCTCCTAAAATGCTGGGATTACAGGCATGAGTCACTGTGCTGGCCAGAAGTGCCTGCCTTTTTCAGGCTGAGTAGTCTTCCGTTGTATGAATGAACTGCATTGCACCTATTCATTCATCTGTCCATGGAGCTTTGGGTTGCTTCTACATATTTGGCTGTTGTGAATAATGCTGCTATGAATATGGGTTTACAAATACCTCTTCCACTCCTGGCTTCTAATTCTTTCCGCTAGGTATGCACAAATACAATTGCAGGATCATCTGATAATTCTGTTTTTAATTTTTCAAGTACTCTCTATACTGTTTTCCCTGTTCCTGCACTATTTTGCATTCCCTCCAATGCTTGTTGTTTTTTGCTTGTTTGTTTATCATATCCATCCTACTGGCTGATATCACAGTTTTGGTTTGATTTGCACTTCCCTATGATTAGTGATTTGGAACATCATTTTATATGCTTACTGGCCATTGGTATATCTTCTTTAGGGACATGTCTACTCAAGTCTTCTGACCATTGTTAATGGGATGCCTTGGGTTTCTTGTTGTTTAGTTCTAGCTGTTCTTAATCTACTATGGATATTAGCCTCTTTTCAGATATATGATTTGCAAATATATTTTTCCTAATCCTTGGGTTATCTTTTCACTCCATTCAGTTTTTTGATGCACAAAAGTGTTTTTCATTTAGATGTAATCTAAGGAATCTAATTTTTGTTGTTGTTGCTTCTGTGTTTGGTGTCATTTCCCAGAAACCATTGCCCACTCCGATGCCATAACGGTTTTGCCAGCGTTTTCTTTTAGACATATTATAGTTTCAGCTCTTGGGCTTAGGTCTTTGATCCAGTGTGTGTTAATTTTTGCATCTGGTGTGACATAGGGTCCACCTTCATTCTTCTGCATGTGGAAATCAAGTTTCTCCAACACCGTTTGTTGAAAAGCCTGCTTTTCCACCAATGAACTTTCTTGGCATTCATGTTAAACATCATTTGAACATATATGTGAGAAGTTATTTCTGGGCTCTGCATCCTCTTCCATTGGTCACTTTGGGTGACTTTATGTAGAATAACAGTGTTTTGATTACTGGATCTTTATAGTCAGTTTATATGCCAGGAAGAGTGACATTTTTAACTTTAAAAAAATGAATTTCAACATATTTTCATTTTTCTAACAATTGTACATTGAGTGAGATGGCAGAACCAAATCCTTACAGTAGTTGGAGAGTAAGTTCCCCAGGGTTTTTCACATACCTTGTGCACACTGTCTCATGTGAGCCTCAGTAGTGCTGATCAAATAAAGACAGAGAGACTACCTGTTTTGCAGGTGAGAAACAGGGTCTGGAGGGGTTGGTGAATCCCAACACCGTGGTCACTGGTGGGTCTAGTCCTGGAATTGGGGCCCGTGGCCACCAGGCTGTGGGAGCTTTTCCAGAAAGCAGGCTCCCACATGGGGACTGGGACTTAGGGAGGGACTGTCCAGGGAGGAGGCAGGCCTGGTGGGAAGGCTGCCAGCAGAAGTCTCAGGCCTTTAAAGCCTCCTTCTATTTCCCTGGTCTCTGCAGCTGAAGTTGCATCAGGAAGAGGTGGCTTCCAACCGCTTCAGGCAACTTCTTAGATGAGCCCCCGAAAGAGTCCCTGAATTTTTACCACCTGCCTCTTCGAAGGATGTTGCAAGGAACAGTACACCCTTTTAGAATTGAGTCATCTGAGACCTTCAACTTTTGTCTTCTTCCAGATTATTTTGGCTCTTCAGAGTTCCCTGAGATTCTATGTGAATTACAGGATGGATTTTTCTGTTGCAAAATTGTTATTGGTGTTTTGTTAGGGATTGCATGGAATCTGCAGATCACTTGGGTACTACTAACATCATACCAATGCTAAGTCCTTTAATCTGTGAACACATGACGTCTTCCTTTTTTTGTGTGTCTTTAACATCTTTCACCAATATCTTGCTTTTTCAGTGTGTATTCCTCACTTCTGATACCAAGTTGCAAGAATAAGAAACTTAGTGCAAAATTTAAGAGGGGAGGATTGGTGTATTAGTCTGTTCTCATGCTGCTCTAAGGACATACCTGAGACTAGATAATTTATTTATTTATTTATTTTTTTGAGACGGAGTCTCGCTCTGTGGCCCGGGCTGGAGTGCAGTGGCTCAATCTCGGCTCACTGCAAGCTCCGCCTCCCGGGTTCACGCCATTCTCCCGCCTCAGCCTCCCGAGTAGCTGGGACTACAGGCGCCGCCACCATGCCCGGCTAGTTTTATGTATTTTAGTACAGATGGGGTTTCACCATGTTGCCAGGATGGTCTCGATCTCCTGACCTCGTGATCCGCCCGTCTCGGCCTCCCAAAGTGCTGGGATTACAGGCTTGAGCCACCGCGCCCGGCCCGACTAGATAATTTATAAGGAAAAGAAGTTTAATTGACTCACAGTTCCGCGGGGCTGGGGAGGCCTCAGGAAACTTACAATCACGGTGGAAGGGAAGTAAACGCGCCCTTCTTCACATGGCAGCAGCAAGGAGAAGTGCAGAGTAAAGGGGGGAGGGGAACCCTTTATAAAACATCAGATCTCATGAGAACTCACTATCATGAGAGCAGCATGGTGGTAACTGCTCTCATGATTCAATTACCTCCCACCAAGTCCCTCCCACGAAACATGCTGCTTCTGGATGTGGATTCCAAAGTAGCTGCATTATGTGGCTGAATTTAGCCATTGTTGTACCCAGAGGATTATGGGAACTACAGTTCAAGATGAGATTTAGGTGGGGACACACCCAAACCATATCAATTGGCAATGAAATAACTCATGTGAATTTATATCTGTGGATCTATTGTATTAATCACATACTCTAGAGAAAATTAGCTCTATTATAGTAAGAATCTGATACTATTTCCATGTTCTCAGTTAATATTTGTTTTTCAGGAGAACTTCTTAATTAGTTGCTATTACATTGGCTTTTTATGTGCCAGAGACTTATGTTTTATGCTTATTTGAATTAGTCCTCAGGACTCAGTTTTTATTTTTTCTAATTGAGTCACACTGGTATATTCCAATATTATTGATTATTACATAGTTATTTGATAACTGATACTTCACTTACATACTTCAAGAAGTCCTCAGAAAGTTGTAGTCAACCTTCTGGCCACAGCCACAGTCATCTCCAGGATAAATTGGCAGAAGATCCACTTCCAAGCTCACTCACATGGTGGGTGCCAGGGTGAAGTTGCTCACAAACATTGGCCAGAAAACTCCCTCTATTTCTTGTGATAAAGGTCTCTCCACCCAGGAGTTGACAATGTAGCCATTGGCATCCATCAATGCAACCAAGCCAAAGACCAAGATGAGGCAGGTAAAAAGAAAGTTGGAGTCTCTCACCATGTTCCCAGAAGTGACATCGTATCACTTCTCTTCCACCTTCTCTTTGTTAGGAAATGAGTCACTTGGTCTATACTATTCATCAGAGCAGATTACACAAAGGCATGAAAACCAGGAGTTGGGGTGTCCTTGGGAACATCTCAGATGCTGCTCATCCCATAGGTCTCATCCTCAGTCAAGACTTTGGGCTTTTAGGACATCAAGACCCGGCTGAGTTTCCTCTGACTTCCAGCAGAGTCTCTGATTCGCCACACTATCAAATCCCAACAAATATACCTCGGAGACAAACTTGCGAATGGGAGAGCTTCATCTGCACTGGGGACTTCCATAGACCTCATCATGCTGCTTCCGGATGTGGATTCCAAAGTAGCACCATTATGTGGCTGAATTTAGCCATTGTCCCCAGAGGGTTGGATTTCTACTCGCTGAAAAGGCTAACATTGCTTCAGAATATATTTTCTTTTGATTTCTTTGAGTTCTCAGTACTTAGTAAAAAGTGTTTTCTGGTTTTTGAGTTCTCAGCACTTAGTAAAAAGTGTTTTTTGGTTTTGAGTGTTTTCTGGTTGCCGTAAGCTGAGATCGCACCATTGTACTCCAGCCAGGGCAACAAGAGCAAAACTCCGTCTCAAAACAAACAAACAAACAAAACAAAACAAAACAACGAAAAAAAATCAGCATGATTTCAAGAGTTCCAATCTAGCCTCAGAAAGAAGAGTATTGAAGGGTATGATTGGAGCAGAAAGAGAATAGCTTAAACACCAGCATAATGAGAAAGTTAGGAAGCTTCTTTCCAAGTCATCTGGAAATGTGCAATAAATTCTTGTGAACTAAAATTTCTGTACTGTACTATCAAACACTAGAACTCGTTTATTCCATCTTTCTGTATTTTTGTACCCAATTATCAACTTCTCCTCATTCCCCAACTAACTCCTTTTCTTCCTAGCCTCTGCTAGCCACCTTTCTACTCTCCACCCCTTCATGAGATTCCTTTTGTGTGTATGTGTGGGATGGAATCTCACTCTGTTGCCCAGGTTGGAGTACAGAGGTGCGATCTTGGCTCGCTGCAACCTCTGCCTCATAGATTCAAGTGATTCTCCTGCCTCAGCCTCCCAAGTAGCTGGGATTACAGGCATGCACCACCACGCCTGACTAATTTTTGTATTTTTAGTAGAGATGGGGTTTCACCATGCCAGGGTGGTCTTGAACTCCTGGCCTCAAGTGATCCATCCGACTCCACCACCGAAAGTGCTGGGACTACAGGCATGAGCCACCATGCCTGGCCAAGATTTTCTTTTTTTGTTCCCACATATAAGTGAGGACATGTAATATTTGTCATTCTGCACCTGGCTTATTTCACTTAATATAATGACCTGCAATCTCATCTTATTTTTGCTGCAGTGGAGAGGATTTTGTTATTTTTTAGGTTGAATAATACTTCATCTTGTGTGTATACTACACTTTCTTAATTGAGACAACTTTTTAAAAAAATAAATATTTTTTAAAAAGTCTTGAAATGTGAAGCTTTAGAGATATGGTGACCATTTAATTCTTTTCTATTTCCCATTTTATATGTATGCACAAGTGTGAAATAAAACAGCAATCGATGTGTGTATAAATCTGTAACTTCAGCAAATGTAAAATGAAAATGCTAAGTGGTAAGAAAAAACACCATGATAAAAATTTGTACGGTGTTGAAGGACAATGCATTTGAAGATCATACTTGAAGAAATCATATTACAATTAACTTCTGTTCTTCCTCATCGGAGCTTGATCCCTCTAGGAACTTCATCATTGGAACCATCTCTGATGCCTAAAACAAACAAACAAACAAAAATCCGCATACCCACACAGATGCAAGTAAATCAGAATCTCAGGTAATGAGACCCAGGCCTCAGCGTTTGTAAGCTCCCCAGGTGATTTCAGTCAAAGCCAAGACTGAGGACCAGTGACACGGATCTCTACACATAACCTGCCTGAATCGATTCCCTAGAAGCAGTTTATAAAGAAATTCCACATGAACTGTGGAAACGGGTGAATGTGATGTACAGTATGTCCTCACTTAGCATCTTTGATAGTCTCTTGGAAACTGTATCTTTAAGCAAAATTATGTAGAGTGAAACCAATTTATCCCTCATCAACATTCTAACTAAACAACTTTGAACCAAACAATGGTGTTGGAGGACCTGCTGTATATTGTTTCCATAAAGTCAATTTTCAGAGAATTAGAAAACGAAATGAGGACTTCCTGTATATAAAAAGATGGTTGTGATTTCACCTGGACAACAGGGTCATTGCTCAGAAACTGAAGGAGTCTGCCTAGCTATAGAAGATTCAGTCACGATGTTTACGCTAAACAAAGGATCCCAGAATACTCACCCATTCCAGTTAAAGGCTTAACAAAGAAAGCAATATTCACATAGGAAATGTGGAAAGGAGTAAAACCCATCAAGCAACAAAAATAACGTGACCAAGGGGGCAGGATTTGCAGATGTAGAGATTTAATGTGGTTGCCCTTTCTAACCCACACGAGAAAAAGGATGGAACAGACAATGGGATTAGATTGTTCTGCTGTGCAGCCTCCACAGGGCACTTTGAATGTCCCTGTTTCTCAGGCTGTAGATGAAGGGGTTCAGCATGGGGATGACCACAGCATACATCACTGATGCCACCACAGCATTCCTGGGAGACGGTGACACAGCTGACGTCAGGTACACGCCAACGCCCATTCCATAAAATAAGCAAACAACTGCCAGGTGAGAGCCACAGGTGGAGAAGGCTTTATACCTCCCACCTGATGATGGAATTCTTAGAATGGAGGAGAGAATTTTATAGTAAGACAAAAGGATCCCTGAAGTGGGAAGAAAACCAAATATGGTACTATCTAAATATACGAATATGTTATTGATGACGCTGTCAGAGCAGGCAAGGTTGAGAAGTTGAGATGGGTCACAGAAAAAATTAGGGATTTCCACATTCTTGAAGCAGGTGAATTGTAACACAATCAAGTTGTGCAACTGGGAATGCAACAGGCTAAGGAAAAAAGACGCCAAAACTAGGAAGACACAGAGGTGAGGAGTCATGATGACTGGGTAGAGTAGGGGGTGACAGATGGCTACAAACCGGTCATAGGCCATCACAGTGAGGAGCATGTCTTCCATACATGCAAAAAGGACAAAGGAAGACATCTGAGTCAGGCAGCCCGCATAGGAGATGACTGTGCTATGAGATTGGATGTCCACAATCATCTTGGGGACCGTAGTGGAGGTGAAACCGATGTCAGCCAAGGACAGGTTGGAGAGGAAGAAGTACATGGGGGTGTGGAGGTGGGAGTCAGAGCCGATGGCCAGGATGATGAGCAGGTTCCCCAACACCGTGATCAGGTACATGGACAGGAACAGCGCAGTGAAGATGGGCTGCAGTTCTGGATCCTCTGAGAGTCCCAGGAGGAGGAATTCTGAGACACCTGTGAGATTCTGTGGCTCTGTGTAACTTGGACACCTTGAGAAGAAAAGAGGGTTGGAAAATAAAAGACATAAATCGCACTTAATGCTGTGTGTATATTTTGGATACAAGCAAGTCACAAGGAACATATTCACACTTGAGGACCACATACCCTCAGCAATATTTCTCAGTTGTGACAATCCCAAAAATCTCAGAATTGTTACATGACTTACTTTTGTGCTATTCAACTCTTCCTGTACATACTACTTTAGAGAAAATAAATTGAAGAATGTTAGAAGACCAAGGACTTAATATATTCAAAATCCATGATCGCAGTAAAACATGGCCTACTCTTTTCAGAAACAAAACAAAACGTTCTTGTCTCTTTAAGAAAAAAATAGTGAATTTAATTAAAAGAAATTAAGAAGCAGTGAAATACACTTTATTTTATTCTGACACTGTGCTACAAATTCCTTTGATGTAGAATATTTACAAACGTTATACAAGAGCTAGGACTGCATTATCTGAAAGCTAAATCAAACCTGATAGTTCATAATCAGAAGATCTTTCTACATGCCAATTACTTTTCATATTTTTTATCATTCTTAGGTTTTCTGACATCGTTTCTTCACACAAGTAAATGCCCACTCAAATATACGAGCTATGTTTCCAAATTTATTTAATATACAGCTCTCATCCTTGGCTTATGTTTTCTTTGGGTTTTGATAAGAAAGTTTTGTTGCACATAATTGTAGGCCTTCAGCGACCACACAGATATCAATAATGTGTAATGCATGCGTCATGACTAAATAATAAAGAAGTTTAATAACATTTTCTCTTTATTTTCTTTTAGTCTGGAATGATGTGAAACTCAAAATTGTGTCTAAGCGCAAGTATCAGGTTTACCTGCCCTCTTCTCTTTGTGCGTTTTTTCTTTCTGATATACCTAAGAAAATCTCTGCCGTGGTATTTAGGTACTTGAACATTGCAGATGCTACTAAATGGAATTCTAAGGCCCCTGTATCTGTGACATAGACATAAACAGGTGTTATCTTGTATCTCATTTTATTAGACATTCCTAAAAGGATGAAAGGACAGACAAGAAACCACTAACTGTGTTGAGGTCACACTGATCACAGCCAATTTTTTTTTGATCCAAGGAAGGGCCTATTCAATATTTAACAGGGAACTTTATTTTTGATGCCTCCTTTGAGACAGGCAAGAGATAGGTTCTGGGGGATCAGAAATGAAAGAGACCCAAACATTCCTCTCACAATACTCGGCACTTACTTAGATAGGTACGAATGTCAAATGTCCTGTCAGGAATGTAGGGGCCTGTAACTTCAGGCCAGAGGACATTGCAGTTCAACTGTATGAAGATTAAGCTTAAAACAATAATAATAATAACATAAAAATTGACTTTGCCTTTATGCATCCATCACATAGAGATCACGCAGGGAGCACTCACGATCTGTTTAATCATCGCTCACTGCAGTTGGATTAACTAGAAATCAGCTCAGATGACAATGCTGAGTCTCAGAGGCACAGACGTTTCGCCTCATGTCACACAGTTCAGTGAAGTGGGCAGATTCAAAACCAAGCGGTCAGTCTCTGAGGCCTTGGTAATGAAGTAGGCACTACCCTTCTTCATTACTTTCCGGCTCTCAGAAAGTTGTAAGCAGAGGTTGGAGCTCTTAATTACAGGCACATTTGGAGTGCATTCAGAAACAGGTTCCAGCTTCCTGATTAGGAATGGAGCCACGACCCTGATTTTATGTCTCCTTTGAGGAGATGGAGAGCTGCAAGGAAAGCCAGGAACAGGGGCAAGGGAGATCCTGTGCCAGTTCTTTCTGGGATCTTTGATGTGATCTTGGCTGCCCTTTCTATACTTGATACTGTGAACGTGGCACCCTCTGGTCTAGCTGTGGTCTACCAGGAACCCCCAAAAGGAGAATGCAGTTAACAGGGGCATCTGCCAGGACAGACAGGGATTTGAGAGGGCAGGTTGGACTCAGGGAGAGGCCTGGCCAAATGCCGTGTGTCTGGACCTGGAGGGCTCCTTTCCTATTCTATAATTAAGAATAATGTGGCAGGTATAACTCAGGGAAGACTACACAGATGAAAGGAAACTGGCTACATAAAACATGAAGCCGAGAGCCTGGCATTCAGGAAGCCCTCCATAAAAGTTCTTGATGTCGTGATGACTGTCATCGTCCTTCTCACCCTCATCACCTTCATAATCTCCTTGGCATGTTTTGGGAACACGCTCTTGTGGGTGAGATGTCTTTGGGAAGTTGAACCAGTGTGGAAGAAAAGTTAAACTTTGAATGAGATTTCTGAGACCAATCACAACCCCGAACATAAACCCACAGTCGTCTGAGCTGACATCTTGCACATTGGTGTCCTCCCATCTGCCTCACTGTCCTGTTTGTGCTGAGGATAAAGAAACAAGGCTCCCGACCGTCCCTCAGCACTCACTGAGCTGCGCTTCCCCTCTGCTGGGCCATGGCCACGGAGAGCAGGTCCGCTGTCCTCCCTGCCTGGTGCATGATGGAGGCTCAGGCTCTGTCCTCAGAACTGGCAGGAAGACAGGGTCAGACATGAGCCTCCTGATGCAGACGACAGGTGTGGAGCCCACTGGCCTGGAAGCTCACACTGCAGGGCTGGAGGCACAGGCTGAGTATTTACCATTCTACAGCCTCGGGGGCTCAATGCACAGAGCTCCTCATTAGCCAAACAAGCCCAAGTTCCCCAGTCTCCAAGGACTACCTCATTAATGCAAGATAAAGAAGAAAAAATGAACGTCCACAGGAACTTCTGGACGCTTCCTCTAATCAGAAGAAAGCTTGTGTTCGTCGTTCACTTCTTTCATTTCTTTTTCTTTTTCAAGGATGCATCTTTTTAAAATTTTCGTATTCTTATCATGGCAAAATATACCACATTTAATATAAAAATTATAAATGCAGTCTTATACAAAATGGTAAGTAACATTTTGCCATTTATCTTCTTCAAAATGGTAACCAATACCATTTTAACCACTTTTCGATGTACAGTTTACTGGCATTAAGTACATCTACAGGGTTGTGCAGCCACCATCATCATGGATCCGCTCAATGATTTTGTCTTTCAGAACAGAAACTCAGGTTCTGTTATGAAACTCCCCATTGCTCTGTCTCACCAATCCCTGGCAACCACCAGTCTACTGTCGCTGTGAATTTAACTGCCCGAGATACTTGATATAAGTGGAATCATACTGTGTTTGCCTTTAGTGATTGATTCCTTTCTCTTAGCATAATATCTCTAGATTCATTCATGTGGTCGCATGTGTCAGAATTGCCTTTCTTTTTAAAGCTGAAAAATGGCTGGGCGCGGTGCCTCACGCCTGTAATTCCAGCACTTTGAGAGGCCGAGGTGGTTGGATCACGAGGTCAGGAGATAGAGACCATCCTGGCCAACACGGTGAAACCCCATCTCTACGAAAAATACAAAAATTAGCCAGGTGTGGTGATGGGCACCTGTAATCCCAGCTACTCGGGAGGCTGAGGCAGGAGAATTGCTTGAACCCAGGAGGCGGAGGTTGCAGTGAGCCGAGATCGCGCCACTGCACTCAGCCTGGTGACAGAGCAAGACTCCGTCTTTAAAAACAAACAAACAAAAAAAGCTGAATGATATTCCATTGTATGGATGTATGGATGGACCACGTTGTGTTCATCCACTCATCTAACAAGGGACTCCTGAGTTGCTTCCACATTTTCATCTATTGTTAATAACGCTGCTATAAATACGGTGTGCAAATATCTACTTGAGTCCCTTCTTTGATTCTTTCGAGTGATTACCCCAAAGTGAAATTGCAGACTCATCTGGTAATGCTATTTTCAATTTCTGAGGAAACACCATACTGTTTTTCTTATTACTGCCCCATTGTACATTCCCATCTGCCATGTACAAACCTTCCTACTTCTCCACATTTTCACGAACGCTTGTTATTTTCTGTTTGTTTATAACAGCCATCCTAATGAGTGGTATCTCACGCTGGTTTTGATTTGCACTTTGCTGAGGATTAGTGATATTGAGCATCATTTTGTATGCTTATTGTCTATTTGTATATCTTCTTTAGAGAAATGTCTACTCTAGTTCTCTTGATGGAGCAGTTAACTTCCACTAATATCAAGCAACAGATAGCTCCACACTTTATCATGCAAAAATGAGTAATATTTTTTGGGGGTGTGTGGGCACAAGAGACTGAAGGCACAAACTGTTTCAGTATAATAAAGAAAATAGACTAAGAATAGTCATCATATAAATTAGATATCGAGAGGATCATGGACAATTATCCACCAGTATTTTAAACATTATTAATCATTAGCTTTTAATATTACTCTTTGTTGCATTACTAATATAACATAGGAATAATCGGCGGGTATAGGGTCAGGTGCTGAAGGGACATTGTGAGAAGTGACCGAGAAAGCAAGAGGTGAGCCCTCTGTCATGCCCGCATAAAGGCCGCTTGAGGGCTCCTTGGTCAAGCGGTAAGGTCAGTGTCTGGGAAGGCACCCGTTACTTAGCAGACCGCGAAAGGGAGTCTCCTTTCCTTGGAGGAGTCAGGGAACACTCTGCTCCACCAGCTTCTTGTGGCAGGCTGGATATTATCCAGGCCTGCCCGCAGTCATCCAGAGGCCTAAACCCCCCACTGTGGTTCTGTGCTTCAGTGGTCAGGCTTCTTGTCCACTTTCATGCTCCTCCCGTACTCCTGGTTCCTCTTTGAAGTTCATGGTAGATAGCGGTAGAAGAAACAGTGAAAGTCTTAAAGTCTTTGATCTTTCTTATAAGTGCAGAGAAGAAAACGCTGACGTATGCTGCCGTCTCTCTCTGCTTCGGCTACCTAAGAGGGAAGGGCCCTATCCCGTAATCACATGACTTGCTTCACCTTGTCAATCACTTAGAA